GAGGGGGAGAGAGGGAGAGAGGGGGAGAGAGAGGGGGAGAGAGGGAGAGAGAGGGAGAGGGAGAGAGAGAGAGAGAGACTGAACAATGTCTATTCCAGCTGCAAGGCTTGCGGTGTGGTGAAAGGGATGGTTGGAGCCACACACAGCCCATAAGGCTAGGGTGCCTTGAAGCACCTGTTTGCAGGACAAGACCCATGAGGGGTCTAGGAGTCCACGGGGCCAGAGGTTACAGTGGACCATGTCCAAGAAGACATAAGGCAGCCTCCCTAATATACTGGAACATCAAAGACGTGTCGGGCAAGAATCTGAGGGTGCCCTTGGGCCAACTTGGCATGGGAAGGGGGCCTTGAGGAGATCACGGCCCTCCTGCAGGACCCTGCCGTGACATGCTTTTCTGCTCAGCGGGAAACAAATGTATGATGATAACACCAGAAGATGTTGTAGTATTTAGTGAGAACTAGGGTGTGCATGCTGTTAACATGAAGTTGTCTTGCTCAGTATTTAAAGTAGGGTCTGGGGACCCTTGATATTTTGCACTAGGCTTAGGGGGCATAGCTACAAACCATGCCTGTACCTTACCACAGGTATTCTGGTTGATACCTTGTAACCAGCTGGCCATGCATGTTCATGATTAGGTGCTTTGTAGGCAACAGATCTGTTTTTATCATTAAAATCACAGCCTGTGGTCATTCCTTCCATAATGTTCAGGGGCACAAACTGCCTGCAGCAGTGGCACAGATGGCATCCCAACACAGCATGTACATAAACAACCCAAAATGAGGGAGTGCACCAGAGGCCACTGACAAGTTGGGCCTCCATTTGTCTGTGCCTCAGTAACTTCTCTGTCTGTGGAGATATGCAGACCCCTCTCTCAAAAGTGGAGTGCTCTGGGACTGGGTAGGGGCTGGGGGAAAGGCATGGCTATGTTACTGTTGACACAGGGACTCAAGAAAAGCAGGGCTGGGTTCTTTCTGAGCCTGCCCCAGGAAGGGATAGTGCTAATGGGCTGATTCTGCAAGACCGAGAACACCTGCATGGCCTGTGGACTTCAAAGAGAGTGGAGGTTGCTCTAGCTCCCCCCAGTGAAGACAAAAACACTCTCAGCAGCCTGTGATGGCTCTTTTCATTTCAGGTGCTCAACTTTCTCTCCAGAGATCCATGACCTGCCAGAGACCATGCTTCACACCACATTGAACCATAACATCTCTTGCCAGAGTTTCCACAGGGGATGAGCCTGCTTTCCTATGTAAGGAGGGCTGGGCACGAAAGCAAGGACAATGGGAAGTGCACAGTAGTTTGGCTGGGACCATCACTGGACGGTGGCTTTGAAATGACAGATTATGGACTTTAATAATGATTCACAATAGTTGGTTTAGGGCCTTATGGGACAGAAGTTCCATATGACATGTCAGTAAAAACATTTAGTTGTCAGTTAAAAAAAAAAAAAAATTGCAGATGGTCAATCTGTCAGAAACAATGTGTCATTTTGGATCCAGGGCTGCCCATATAAACAGGGCATTTTGCTGCTGGAAGGCCAGGCAACAACATCACCTGGCTGCAAGGCCACTGGTATCATCCTGGAGGTAAGGGTAGGAGCTGTAGGGGATGGATAGGAGGCTTCTGGTCCTGGGCATGACCTAAAACTGCACCCTGCTGGGAGTGGGTGGCCTGGTGGGGCTCTCAGTTGTGCAGGAGCCCCCAGAAAATGCCAGGCCAGTGATCACGCCAGTGAAAGGCAAGTAGGGGCACCTTAACCCCAGTCCTCACCTTCTGGTGGGTTGAAATAACATCTAAGGCTGAGCACAATGACCTGCTGCTCGGGTGGGGGGGGAGTGAGAGGCCCCGTGAGACCCTGGAACACTAGTCGTAGTGTGCGC